GTAATGAGATGTATTCACTCTATTTCGTGTAAGGTGATGAAGGACTGGTAGTAGAATTTTCCCACAATCACATGAGTTGAGCTGACTTTTTCATTGAATTTCACATAGCCTTGCTTCCCCAAAAGTTGTTCTCATCCCAGCTGAAGTGGACTGCAGTTTTGACCTACCATCGGTCTTATCAACACCCTCAGCGGGAGTCAAACCGCGACTTTTGGGAAAGCATGGCTATGTGAAATTGAATGGAAACTTCAGCTCAACTCATATCATTGTGGGAAAATTCCTCTTCTACTAGTCCTTATTCACCTTAAACGAAATTGCGTGAATACATATCATACTACTGATTTGCTGGTAGTCACGAAAACAATACTTGATTCGAAAAATAAAGTATAGTAGTCGATTGTTACAGCAGATATACGTTTGCTTCATCGAAAATTCCACCAAACGAATATGATATGGCAAAATGGCCTCACTTTCCTTGAAAATTCACATTTTCCCCTGTGACCCAAAAGGCGCTCGTGGCAGTATGCCAAGTGGTTAGCGTGACAGGCTCCCAGCCTGTACGGTCATGGTTCGAGTCCCGCAGGGGGTGTTCATAATACCGATACGAGGTTGAAACTGCAGTTTACTTCTGCCTGGAAGAGAAAAACTTTTGGGAAAGCAAGGCAATGTGAAATTCAATGGAAAAAGTCAGCTCAACTCATATCATTGTGGGAAAATTCCTCTTCTACCAGTCCTTCGTCGCCTTAGACGAAATAGGGTGAATACATCTCATATTACAAAATCTATGTACAGAAATTTGAATAAATTGAATAAAAGCATTGCTATTTAAGCACGAACGATACCAAATGTAATTTCATGTCATCTAGTCTGATGTGATCACATCTCATCCTTTCTTCTCTTTTCTTATATATTTTCGCCCGAATCTAATATTTCACGTTACTTTCTTTGAACAATTGTCTTTTCCCATTTCTATCTTCTTATCCTTATTTCAAGGCCATTTTTAGTTGGGGGGACCTTTATTTGGTATAAAATTGCATGGAGAAGAGATTTTTAGGTTGATCTCACTAGAAGACGACGATGGAAGCCCGTCGGTGAGATCAACCTACCAATCTCTTCTTCATGCACTTTCAGACGAAATGAAGGTCTCCCCAACAATGTTATCTGAGGAGATTAATCGTATTTACATTTTATCAATTTTTTTTGTTCTACTTTATCTTCTTGATTCTATATTTTTCTTTCTAAGCCAATTTAGCCCGTGATTCTCCACCATTTATCGTGTATAGGTTTTTTTTATTTTCGACTTGTCCACTTTCACTATTTTTCTAGTTTACTTTTTGAGAATTATGTATTCGATGTTATTATATCCTGTCGCATTTGTCTCCTATTTCGCCTTTTCTTGACAATGCATTTGCATTCTCATATGCCTGCACTCGTCGCAGCAACTATTTCAACCAAATCGCCAAACAATTTGCTAATTCTCCTCGACTTGACTGCTTTTGACACGCCTGCAAGCGTTTCCTCCATCGCCTAAGCCTGTTGGCGTTATTCTAATTATCTACCAGACAATGTCTAAACTATTACTTCTCATACAAATTGATTTTAAAGTGTGCGGAAGAGGGGGTTCATTTGGTGATGAGTATCCCTCTTTCCTGCCCATCCTTCTGCTCGCACTCCCACCAACATTTCTTCCGTTCTACTCGATTTTGTTGACAGTTCTCTGCCAATTCTGTAGGCATTATGTTCTTGCCCACGAGTTTTCGTTAGCCGAAATCGCATAATTTGATGAAGCATTACTTGTTGCATTTTCCCGCGAAGAAGACTACTTTGGCCTAGGGCAACCAGAACTCGGAAATAGCATTCTATGCATTTTTATTATGTGATAAATAAGTTGTTTCGACACATTTCGATGTATCATTAATGGCAAGATGACTCGATATGTGTCCGTTGTTTGTGGTCTCGTCGTGTCCTCGTGCATGTGGCTGGTACGACTGAGTCTCCAGCCTTGTTGGTCTGGCGTCTGTGTCCTCCTCCTCGTCCGAGTCCAGACTGTTGCGTTGCTTGCCACTTTCGGCCGGCCCAACAAGACGCCATGTTCAGGCTTCCTTTCACCTTGCACCACACTTACACGACCGAGGTCGACTAAGTTCATGTGTTCAAGAACCATTGATAGTCTCAAAACCTATTCATATATCCAAGTTTGTACTGACTATAGCAATCGACCAAATTACATATTTTTGTTTTTTTTATATACTTTCGAGACCACCGGTAGATCTTGAATAATAATTGTATTCACCCTCTTTAGAAAAAACGAAAATAAGTAATGTAGCCGATTGTAATGCAACTATAATCCCCGCTTGATCGAACAACCCACTACAGAAATATGATATGGGAAAGGGATAAGCTT